CATCAAAGGAAAAGCCACAGAAGCAATACCCTTTAAGGGAAAAGCCACAGAAGCAATTCCTTCAAAAGTACCGCCTCCGGAAATGATTCTCTTCAAAGGAAAAGCCACAAAAGCAATACCTTCAAGAAAATGCCTCCAGAAACGATTCCCTTCAAGGAAATGCCTCCAGAAATGATTCCCTACAAGGAAACGCCTCTGGGAACGATTCCCTTCAAGGAAACACCCCCAGAAACGTTTCATTTTAATGAAAAAGCCACAGAGGCTATTCCTTCAAAAAAAACGCTCTGGAAGCGTTATTATTTAAAAGAAACGCTCTGGAAGCGTTTTTATTAAATGTAACACTCTGGAAGTGTTATTTTTTTAAATTTAACACTCTGGAAGCATTTTTATTTAAAAGAAATGCTCCAGAAGCGTTATTAATTAAAAATAACGCTCCTGAAGCGTTTTTATTTAAAAGAAACACTCTGAAAGCGTTATTTTTTTAAACTTAACGCTCTGCAAGCGTTTTTATTTAAAGAAATGCTCTGGAAGCATTATTAATTAAAAATAATGCTCTCAAAGCGTTTTTTTAAATAATACACCTCCGGGAACGATTCCCTTCAAGGAAACGCCTCCAGAAACGTTTCTTTTCAATGAAAAAGCCACAGAGGCTATTCCTTCAAAAATAACGCTCTGGAAGCATTTTTATTAAATGTAACGTTCTGGAAGCGTTATTTTTTTAAATTTAACGCTCCAGAAGCGTTTTTATTTAAAAGAAATACTCCAGAAGCGTTATTAATTAAAAATAATGCTCCAGAAGCATTATTATTTAAAAGAAACACTCCAGAAGCATTATAATTTAAAAATAACGCTCTGGAAGCGTTTTTATTAAATGTAACATTCCGAAAGCATTATTTTTTTTAAATTTAACGCTCTGGAAGCGTTATTAATTAAAAATAATGCTCCTGAAGTGTTATAAATTAAAAATAACGCTTCTGAAGCGTTATTCTTCAAAGAAAATGTTACTGAATCGGTTTTTTTCGAAGAAATCATTGCCGGAATCGTTTTACTTCGAAGAATCATTTCCAGAATCATTAACTTCGAAGAAATCGTTGCCGAAAGCGTTTTTCTTTGAAGTTAATACTCCTGGATTGTTTTTTTCAAAAATAAAAATCCAAGCCGATGAGCTGAGCCGCACTATGAGCTGAGTCACGGTATAAGCCGGCTTGATTGGCTCGTAAGCCATTTTATAGTGGCTCAAGCAAAGCTTTCACGAGCCAGCTCATGAGGCTCGCGAGCCGGCTCGGCTTATGCGGAGCTTTAGTTACCGCCTTATGGCCGCATAACAAATAAAAAACTGTCTTAGAACTTAGCTCACCTTATGGCCGCAGCGTTTTTCTGTTTTACCTGTCTAACCTTATTGCAAAGAAGCTATCCGCCTTATGGCCTCAATAGCATTTGACAAATAAGGTACACTAAAGGAACTATATCGCCTTATGGCCACATATAGCTATTGAGTGTGCAGCTCTAGCCTTCTCGCCTTATGGCCGCAAAAGGGAACAGAACTGAGATGATTATGCGCTAAATAAAAACATAATCAAATTTTCTTGTCCAGAAAAATATTTTGTTGCAATGATGATGTTTGATTAAATAATATTATATCCTGATATGACTATTAAATAGATTGAAAAAATTTTTCTGTGAAAGTAACACAAAATGAATTCTATCACCCAATAAAATAATCTAATTAATCATGTGATGCTTTTTGCTTTTACTTTTTTCTGCACAAAAAAATAGAAAAGAATGTTAAAAGAATCATGTCCGCATTTAATTATCAATAAAAATACAGCACCTTTTACATTACCACCTAATATACACCCAGTATTAGCAAAAACAAATATAAAAGATTAGTCTTACCAGCATTTTGTAATGCAAGTAATTTTGTTGAAAATTCCTGTGAACTCTGTAGGTGATGTAGAATAAGTATGGATTGACTCGTTAAAGTCGTTAGCACTAAGAAAAGATATAGATAAAAAATATAGATGCTTCATCAAAAAATTGATTGATTATCAAGTATTATAATTTAGATAAGTGATTAACTTAAAGTGTATGTTTTAAGTTTTTTTACTGAATTTTTTTCTTAGACTTTTGAAAAACTAGATTCTTGTATGGAATTTGTTTTAAGTTGCTATATTAACTCACAAATGCAATTAAAAATTGGATCTACTATTAACGATTTTTACCATGTATGTGATTATGAAGTGATCATTTAACAAATTTATCAATGTTCATTACTAATGCTTTTGGATTATCTTTAGCAAATAGAGCAGCAATCTAGAGAAGCATTTGTTTCAAATAAAGTCTCAAGTCATTTAAATAATGATGTAAATAATAATGTAAGTCAATTTCTGCAAATGTTTTGAGTTAATCATTTAATTACATATTTTTATTATTTATTTATTATTTAAAATTTAATAATGCAAATTACATCTTCAGTGACTCAACTCGCAGAAACAGGAACAAAAGTAATTATATTATAGTTAGTAGCATCAACTCTAATACCTTATTTGATATATTTATGTTTATTTTCGATAAAAAGGACAGAAAAAGAAAACAACCTTATGAAGATATTGAAGAATTACAAGAGGAAGTAAATTACTTATTTGAAGAAGGTAACAAAAGTAATATTATTTTAACAATTGATGATAAAATACTAAGTGATGAATTAATGTTAAATATTAATGCTACGGAAAAGTCTTCTTATACTAATGACGAAATAAAAGGTAGCTTCGATTTGTATAGATTAAAAATCCCTAAGACAAAAAGAATAGTCACATAAGTTTTGCAATAATTTTTACATGACATTAGCCTGATTACTTAATATATTGCTTATATATTATAGGTCTGCATATTAGGGGATTTGGACCTAACAAAGGAATCACTTTTTAATTGTAAAGAAATTGATGATGACATATTAAAGCATTTGTCAAAAGAATTGTCAAATGCAATTCAATGAAAGCCGGAGCCACCTCCACCAAATATTCAGGAATACTTTACCAGCAACTGTAGTACTAATTTAAGTAATGAAAATAAAAAATTTAAAGCTAACATTCAATATATGTAAGTATCAATGGTTTAATGTTAATTCATCTACAAAAATTCTAGGATAATTTATTTTTATTTTCATATTATCTAGAATTGCAAACATTGATATTTTTAAAAGAAGTGTGACTGAAGAAGTTCTCAAAATGACAACGATGTATCCTTTTTACTATGCCGTTATCAATAGTGATTTTCTATTAGATAGGTGTTAAGTTACTTTGCATTAAATTTTATGTAAAAAAAAATATTAAATAAATATATTGAAAATTTATGTCTTATTTATAGGGGTGAAATTCAATCATATTCAACAAAAGCACAAAATGAAGATGCTAACCTATTTCAAAAAACTAGAATTAGCAGAAAAGTAGATATGATTGGCAACCTTAAAGAGACGTCATTCAAGGTTGAAGCTTTATTCGGAGAAGTTTCTGGTGGATTAGGTCCTTTTGGTTTTCCTGCTGCGATGAGAAAAAAACGTTTTTTTGACAAAATAAAATTATCCATAATGTTGAGAGATTCTCTTAACTCAGTAATTAAAAAATGGCGAAATCTCAATGATGATCTAAAAAATCTGTGGTATTATATGGTTAGACTCAACATAGTATGTTTATTTTAAAGGCACTTATCACTTTTATTAATAACTTATGTAATTGTTCTTAATACAGGACTTGAAATAAATGTTTATGCTTTAAAATGGAAAGGCAATAGTATCTATCTATTTGGGTTGGTTGATAAAGGTACTCTACCATCATCTGAGAATGAATACGGACTTTTTGAAGATTTGTATTGTATTTTTAAAGAATTAGAAGTATGTACATTTATTTTATCATTACTACTTAACAATTTATAAATGCATAACTAATTTTATTTTTTATAGAGAAAATTAAAGAAAACTGAAGAAAAAATCAAAAATTTAAATTTATTAAATGTAAGAAGTAAAAGGAGGAATTTAGGTGTAAAGAGCATACCTGAACTCAACTTAAATAGAACACCAAACTAGTTCTTGATTATTAGTTAGCTGTTTGGAGGCTTTAATTTCTATTATCATTCTTGGCAGTTTATTGTCATGATATTCAATTAGTAATCTTTTTACGCATATGATAATTATGCTTTTATACAGAAATATGAGTAAATTTATTGATGGCGATTTGTATTACTAACCCTTTAACACTACTGACCATTTACTAAAATTGATATAAATGATTTCAGTTATAAAATGTTAGATTGTTTTATTCGATTAAAAGTCAAAATGTCTAGTTTGAGAACTTCAATTTCTTTTTTAATGTCCAAAACACTGAGTTCTTGATAAATATTTTAATACTGTATCACAAACTATTTTTTTGCATTTTCGGAAGAGTAAAATCCTAAATAGAAAATTGATTTTTTAACTCGTGAGAATGAATATGCTGTACATCTAAATAGTAAAAGAGATTTAAATTATTAAATTATTATTATTTGAGTTGTGTATCAGAAAATTTTACAAGTTTTAAACCGCTGTAACAAATAATTTCAGAGAAAAGAAAAAAAACTTAAAACAAAATCCTTATTTAATTGTATCAATTATTTTAATGGAATTTGTTAGAAAATTTTGAAAGATGTAATTTGTAAATTTTTTGCCGCGCATGTTCACTATCCACCAAAATAACAAAAATTGAGGGTTATTTACTTTTATTAATATTAATATTAAGCAGAGTTATACACTTCACGTAAACATCCACTCTCTTATTATTATTTAAAAAATTATATTTTTATTTAAATTACTTTTATAAATTTTGAATAAAATACGCCTGTCAAAATTATTATATAAAAATATAAAAAACAAAAAAATATTTTTCATTCTAGCCTATAACTAGAATATGATTCTTGAACGATAATATATTTGGTAACCAATAATCGATCTTTACGTTATTCGATACATCTCATTGAGAGAATCAATATTGTATAAGCAATTAAGATTCATATGTTGTAAAAGATTTTATTCTTGAATCCTTATTTATTTTGATAATAAATAAACCCTTTTCTGATCTTCAGATCGCAAATATTCATCAGTTTCAACCATCTGAATAAAACACATATATTTTATATTAACCCACAAACCAAGACTATTTGCTAGTATTTGGCCTATTTGTCTGATTCTACTCAATCAAAATACATTATCATCTATTTACGCTCTCCCACTAAAATATTTGGTAACTAATTACTTATATCTAATTAATAATTACTTTATTTTGATTCAATTAAGATATAGAAATACATAGTCATTTAAAGATAGAAACCATTTTTTAATTGTTTGTCTTTTTAAATATTTTGTTTTTTGATTAGCCTCTCTCTTCTTCTCATCTAGTGGAGTTACCAGTTTGTTTTATTTTTATAAAAACAATTACTGTCTAAAACTAATTGATCAGATTTCTTGGAGACTTCTCTTAATAAGTCATTCAATAGTCATATTTAAATCAATTATATCAGATATATATATCATTAAGTTATTTGTAATATTTAGTACAAATTCACAAACTTCATCCACTTACCTGCTACCACAGGACTAATCAATTTTAGAATTATTAAAAAACCCCTACAAAATGAACATAAAATTATATATATAGGGATAAGTGTATATGAAAAGTAATAGTAAATATAATGGTTCTAATGAATATCAAAAAGCAATAAATTTTTTAAAAAGAGGTTGTAATTGTGGTTGTTCTTCAAGGATTCTCAAGGAAGAATTTGCAGAATTAAGGGAATCCTTTCAAGCACTTCCTAAAACAGAACAAGATATATTTTTAATGGCTCAATTTAAAGCAATAGATGGTGGGTTAACAAGCACTAGTAAATGCCTTAAAAAGAAAACTAGATTTAATAAAAGAACTTTCTACTATTGGGATCATAATACACTTCTTTGTCAAGAAACTTATCTCAATATGTTAGAAATTAGTAGAACTTATTTTGAAAATATCAGAAATTATCTGATAAACAATAGTCTTTTACCAAGAATTCATGGTAATATTAAAAGAATGCCTCAATAGAAAACTAAAATAGTGATTGATAAAAAAATGTTGCTGAAGTTGTAAAAAATTTTCTAGAAAATTATGCAGAAGTCTATAGATTATTAAGTTCAGGAAAAGTATCAATAGAATAACCCAATCAATTATATTTTTACTAGCTGAAACAAGTTATAAATCATTGCACAGGGATTTTTTGGTTGGTCTGAAAGAAAACAACAAGTTGAAATCTTTAAAATATGATGCTTTTAGAAAGCTATGACATCAATTGATACCAGAAGTTTAAATTATGAGTCCCAGAACTGACTTGTGTGATACTTGTCAACATTTTAGAAATGGTTTACATATAATGCTCATCAGGAGAAAAAAGCTAAAAATTTACTTAAAAAATTTAAAGAGTATTTATCTAAGGCCAAAGTAAAAAGAAATTACTATAATAAAAATACCAAATTAGTAGAAGAACAAAGAAAATTAGTTAATCAACATTATTTTAAAAGTAAAACACAATATTGCAGCATTGATGCTACTGCTCATTATAGTTACCCTATAAATAATATGTATAAGGAAAGTATATAAAAATAATACGTAGAAAAATAGTATAATAAATTCGTAAATATTTTCATATACTAGATACTGAAAATCGTCTTTTTTCATATGCAAAAAAATACTGAATTTATACGTCTAAACAGTATAATGTATACGTAAATTTTGTTAAATTTTATATGTCAAATCAGTATATTGTATACATTATTTTTGGTTGTATTTTTACGTCTAATCAGTATATTGTATACGTTATATTTGGTTGCATTTTTACATCTAATCAGTATATTGTATACATTATTTTGGTTGCATTTTTTACATCTAATCAGTATATTATATACATTTTTTGTTGCATTTTAATATATAAACATTAAATTATATATGTAATTTTGATTGCAATTTTTATACATTTAATCAATAATTTTTCAAAATTAAAAAAATTTTTATTAAAAAAAAATAAAAATAAAAGAA